TGATACAAAAGGCTCTCATAACTATGACAAAAGAAGGATGGTTTGATATGCATGATCTGATACAAGAAATGGGACACTACATCGTTCGAGGAAAAAACCCCCGAAATCCAGAAAAACACAGCAGGGTTTGGAAGTCGGAGGATGTTTTAACAATATGTGCTACGCCGACTGTAATGTTTAAGCTAGCCTCCTATATAAATTATATATGCCATGAATGATATACGTATATCCATAAAGATATACCCTAAATCAACCCTAACAACATTTTGTTTCTCTATTACAGAAAAATGACAGGATTGAAGCAATAAGAACTGTGTTTGTGCGTAAGCAAAGGGAGGAAAAGAAGGCGGCTTTTCTTAATTTTCCTTGTGCTGTTGCAAACATGAAGGAACTTCGGTGGATTTCTTGCTTTCATTATCCAGCAACTTCATTGCCAGGAAATTTTCAATCAACGAACCTATTTTATCTAGGGTTGGAAGAGAGCTCGCTAAAGCAACTTTGGGAGGGTTATAAGGTAATTCTTATTGTTAATCTAATTAAGCAAAGTGGATGATAAATTATAAATATAACTAATTTACATAATATAGTCTATTTACTTGTATGAAAGGTTTAGAAAGTTGATGTGGTTGAATATCGGTGTCCTTAGGCAACTTTATATAAGCTTTTAATCACTAAGCAATGATATTTGTCTTCTATTTTAAATCTAATTTAGTTTTAAGTTTCCTAAAAGAACTAAATGTTATTCATAATTATAAATGCTCTTAAGAATTATAAAGTAGTGACTAAAGCATTCCGCTGTAATAAAAACTGATTTTATTGTGTTAGTTTATATATAAAACAAATTGTGTATTTTTAATAGGTGGTTTTTTTCGAACATTTTGCAAAAATTAGAAGAGGATGTTGCCCCATTTTAATTTGTTTTTGGAATACTATAATTAATTTGTATTAGTTACTTTCTATTTTTGTGTATCCTAGCTTCTCAACACTCTATGCTACTAAAAAGTATTTTGCCATCGTTGACTTGTGTGTAATTGTATACAACAGCATCTGCCAAATTTGAAAGTGCTCAACCTCAGTCATTCCGAAAAACTTATCAAGACACCAGATTTTGACGGACTTCCATGTCTTGAAAGAATAAAACTCTACAAATGTGTCAATTTAACAGATGTTCATCCATCAATTGGATATCATGAAAGGCTTATTTACGTGGACATGAGTTATTGTACCCACCTTAAAAAGTTTCCACCCATCATAGGGATGAAAAAGTTGGAGACTCTAATTCTCTCTTGGTGCCCTCAACTTTGCATGTTCCCGGAGATCCAAACGAACATGGATAACATGGTAGAGCTTTCTTTGCGCGGAAGTAGAATAAAAGTTGTACCCTCGTCATTCGGAAAGTATTGTACCAACCTTCTTTCTCTTGATTTGGGATATTGTAAAAGTCTAAAGAGTATTGAAGGCAACTTCCATCACTTAAAACATTTGAAAAAGTTTTTTATCGCCAGATGTAAAAAGCTTAAGATACCACCAGAGGGCCTCTTTGATGTAACTTGTTGTTTAGAGGTGCTTCATTTATTTGGTACATCCTTCAAGAATCTTCACCCAGGCATCGTAAGCATGAAGTTTCCTGGTTTTCCACCTTCATTAAAAAGGTTGCATCTTGTCTCGTGCGATTGGATAAATGGAGACATCTCATCTGTTTTTTGCGAGTTATCCAACCTACAAGTATTAAATCTACAACACAATGATTTTTCACGATTGCATTGCAGCCTCTTGCAACTTTGTAGTCTCAAGGTCCTCAACCTGTCATATTGCTGTGACCTTGTAGAATTACCAGATCTCCCATCAAGCATAGCTGTGCTCCAAGCATATCAGTGCAAAAAGCTTAAACTTGTAGATCTTCCAACAGATCTTAAATGGTTGTGGAGAATCTCACTTCCAATGAATTGTATATTGGGTGATATGGAGAGAAAAGTACAATCCATGCTTCAGGTATGACTCTATATGTCTTCTTGTTGAATTTTAGTATTAATTAATTTGTATATGTAGACTAAAACAAAATAATATTCATCATGATAGGGAAATTCCATTTATGATAACTCCATCAGTCTCTCTTTCCATGTTGATAACATTCGATTAGAAGACTTTGCAAGGAGAAGATTGATGTTAGAGCTTCCAAGGAACTGGTACAACAAATTCAGTGGATTCTTAATATGCTTAAAAGTTGAAGGGATGATTGGCAACAATAGTAATGTAATTACTATCGAGGACGTAATGGGTAGGGAAAATGAAGATGTTTTGGAGGTGTCTGATGATGAAACTTTCAAGTGGATACGGGGTAAGGGTGAGGTATACAAGTGCTATATATATATATCCTGCAGTTCATTGAGGCATACCTCATGGTGGAAGTCAACACACACTACCATTTCATTTTCCATACAAAGAGGTACTTTCGTAAAAGTCGAACTTGTTCCTAGAAGTAAAGGTGATCCAATAGAAAGAGTCAAACATACAACAAATTCCTCAGAGTTTTGGGACAGAGAAACTATTGAGATCACACATGATTCTAAATCTTGTATCAAGATTAACTGGTGTCCTAATGATATGCCGAACCTGTTCTACAATCGGAATGTCTGATTTTTTTTCACTGTTTGTTCTATTTTGATAAATAAAAAAAACTTGTATTCCTCTTGTTGCTTTATTAATAGTGAAAATCTCTAACCTTGCTGGAAGGCTAGGCATCTTTGCCAAACATTGTTAAATCATAGCATTTTTTTCCCTTTCTCCTTAATTTTTCTCTGAATCCCACTTGATTTCTTAACAAATGTTGCTTCATTTTAACAATTCATTTAGAAAATAAAACAATGTTTATGCATTTAGATTAAAACAACAAATAACACTTCACATATTCATCAACAAGAAGATTATTTATGTTAGACATATTTTAGGTTTATTTTGTTCTATTTTTTTCTTTAAAAAATGAAACTTGATAAAATAAAAACACCACTTAGAAACATCTCCAATACATTCTTTAAAACAGAGATTTTAGAGATTTTGAGCAAGTTTTTTGCTTCCAAAGATTCTTTAAAACCTTTCTCTAAAATAGAGGGAGGGAGAGAGACAAAGAAATTCTCCAGATATGGAGAACTCCTTAAAGATGATTACCGAGATAAAATTTATTTTTATTATATTCCAATTAACCGAGATTAAATGTTTATGAAATAGAAATAATATTTTATTAAATGTATGAAATATTTTAATCATATAATCAATATTTTGATGTCCAAAATTTAGAAGCTGTTAGATTTGAATATAATATTTTTTAAGATTTTGAAAATTTTGATCCTTTGTTTTAATGAAAAATTTAAAAAAAAAATCTATAAGTGATACTTTTAGGAGTGTTTAGCAGTTGCTAAATGATTTTGAGCAAGATGATTAAGTGGTTCGAATGATTAAGAGTTTCTTATGATATAATGCAAAATAAAATATAATTATTTGGTAATTGTTCAACATGAAATTATGGCACTGAATGGTTCAGGGGGTCCAAGATGCAAAATCATTCACAAAGTTTTAAAAATGTTCTAATTTTTTTGTTAAAACGTCTAAAAATGTCTCATAAACCTATTGTAACACTATTAGATGGACGCTTTTTTGGTTTGGTCCTATAAACTTAACTCCTATAAAGTATTTTTTAGGACACTTTTATATTTTAGGCGTCCTATAAAATCAATTTTGTTGTAGTGTGCACAAACACTTGTAATTCAAGCTAATTAGTGATCCTTTCTGTAGTTTCATAGAAAATTGGATGAATCAAACCTAAGCACGTTCTGAGGACACTTATCGAGGGATATGCCGGTTGTGGGTTGTATGAGAACGCAAAACAGGTAAACTTGCATTTACAATATCTTCGTTAATAAAGCTCTACATTCACTTTCCACTTGCTTATTCAATATAATCGTAGAAAGATGCTCGAACCGTTTCTTTAATTATGGCAAATCCCGATTTCGTGCCTACCTAATTTAGGGACTTGAACACTGTCCCAATTTGCATTGTTGCTTTAAGATGCATTTGGTACGTTGGACATGAAAAAATCGGATATGATAAGACTGAGAGAGACAAAATGCAATTTTTGTCCCACCAAAATTGGTTAATAACTAAACTAATCATGTCAAATTAAAATTTTAAATGACAATTTTAAATTATCACGTTTTTTAGAAATATGTAATTATTACATTTTTAATTTAAACCAATGACAATTGTAGCCTGGGAAATAACGGAATTCCTCATCTCATAATAGTAGAATTGGGAAGTCAGACACTTATTTTGGGATAAACTAAACAAGAAATGTTGACACTCTTTTTGGGGTCGGAGGGAGTAAATATTGAAATTGTTAATAATTTCCACAATCTAGATTTCTACTCCATTTGCAGGTACTTTCAGAAATGAAAATTCCTAATAACGATATGAATGAAATCAAAAGCATGAAAAATTGTCCACACATGTTCACTTACGGTTTTAAATTGCGTTTTGTAGGAGATTTATTTAGCCTTTATAAGGCAATCTTAGTTTCTCTCTCTACCCGATGTGGGATCCTACAATCATGATGCAACCGGTCCCAGGTTTTGTTGTTTTCATTGAGTTTTGTGTCTTTCTTTGGGTTTGCAAAATTATATACTAACGAGCTGTTTACTAAATGTTTTTGTCGTAAATTGTTGCAGACGATACCATTTTGATATACTACAATCTTACCAGTAAGAGTAAACACTCTTATTTACCTTATCGGGAACGATTCTAATTCATTAAAATGACAATCTATGCAACAAAAAATTATCTGTTTAGCACTAACCGGGTAAAGCGTCACCCTCACTTACAGTGTAAAATTCTCTGCTCTTGTCATCGCTCTCTTTCCAGGTAAGATTCTCAATTCTTGTTATGTTCATCCGGTAAGGTAAAATGACAAAGTAAGCACTTAACCGTATAAGTATTTAGTAAACGTCCTCCAAGTTAGAGCGTTGACTCTTACCGTTAACCATATTAGCACACGAAGTTTGGTGTAAGAAACGGGGTGATCCCATTGAAGATGGTCTTAACCAACGAAACTACATGAGTAACTTGCAATATGTTTTTAAGATTGCGGTTTGGAAAAAGATATTTGCGTTGGATATAGATTTTTGTGTTTGTCTTTGATGTTGGGTAACACGTTCCAGAGCACTCTTCTAGTATTGGTAGACATTTCTGCAAATCAGGCGTTGTATGAGAACCTTAAACCTGGGCCAAACCAAATCAACCAATTTACTAATTTTGTTTTCACTTTGCTAAATACTTAAAAGATAACTAATCATTGATATCAGATAAAACACGAAAGCATTATATAAATCCCCAAAGTTTGCCGGAGTTGGGTATAGTAAGAAGAGATCTTCATCCTTGGATCAATTCTAATTGATGATCAATTGGAAATACCCTTCTAATTAATTCATGGGTTATTTTAGTGTTAATCTGAAACATTAAATCAACACTAACTAAACGTTACGAAAGGTCCAAATCTTTTCTTACACTTTTCACCTTAACTTCTATTATCACACGATCCTCCGTCAAGTCTTGTCCAACGTAGTCTCTCTTCWGCCCAACTGCCAAATCTCAACATAATCTTGAAAACATAAAGAAACATTTATTATATGTATATATGATTTCTTATTAAATGGTCAAAATACTTTATTATATGTATATATGATTTCTTATTGGAGTGAGTGGCTAAAAGCAGGATTTTCGATCAGGGCGGTCCCCCCCCCCACACACACACACATATATATATATATATATATATATATAATATTTATATAGGGGTGGGTTCAAATAAAAACCACTTAATTTGTAAAATCGTGAAAACCTCATTCAACAGATCATAATTTATCATTTTGTTCATTTTTTTGTAATTATGAAAACCGTGAAAACCTCATTCAACCAATCATAATTTATCATTTTGTTCATTTTTTTTT